ATATATATATTTATGAAGAGAATGATTATATATGAAAAATGAATTTTTGAAAAAAAAAACATGTTTCTATATATACTGATTTATAAATCCGGGAAATACTGTTATGTAAAAGAAACTATAATGATATCTTATCAGAGATAAAGTTTCAGATTCTAGTGAGTTGAAGGAAAATATTCTAACTATAAAACTTCGATATAACAGACGTTTAAATTATAAGTATCACGATTTAACATTTATTTTTCTGATTAAGTGCATATTTCAGGAATAATATATACTTATTATTTTTTATGGGTACTAATGAAGCAATTTGTAAGATAAACTCATTCAAACCAAGACATAATAATGTATTATCTATTAAAGAAAATATTTAAATTATAATGACCTCTATTACTTTCTTTAGTAAAATTCATGTGTACAAACTAAGGGCATCTATCGAAGGTCGTTATTCAGCTATTTCTTATTCTCAGTCAAGGTAAAATATAGACTTATCCATCTTGTGGTTTTATTTATGTGCTAGTTACCTACAAAAAAAAAAACATTTGATATTATTTCAGATACAATGCTTTTCGGACGATCATCTGAACCAGCTGTACCGGCTACGCCTGCAGCTCCTAGCTTTGAAGATCAATTACCTACTGTAATCGACAAAAAAAATCTCGATTTTTTCTTCAAAGCTCTTTTATCTTTTTTTTATAATTTAGTTAAGAGAATTTCTTCGTGAATACAATCGTATTGCTGAAGTATGTTTCAATGATTGTATCAATGATTTTACAGGTCGAACAACAACAGGATCTGAAGTACATTATTCTATTTATATACATATATATGTTAATTTCGTTTATTTAAATTTTAATAGAATTCATGTGTTAATATTTGTTTGGAAAAATTTCTTAAAGTAACACAACGAATATCGCAACGTTTTCAAGAACAACAAATGTTAACGAATGAAAATCAAGTTGTTGCCGGCAAGGCAAAAGGTCTTTTTCAATAAATATTTGTCTTCATCGGATTTCGTTTTATACGTGATGATAATGATGATAAACTTGAAGTTATTGATCGATCAATTGAACGTGATTCCTTCAAAATATCTATAAGAGAAAAGATATAATTTTATATTCAGAATTTTCTTCATTACCACTACGTCGAATAATAGGAGATGTTTGATAATCCTAAATTATTCAGTATAATCATAATAGAATATTATATAAAACACATACATTTTCATTGATTGATCCTGTTGTCTTAGTTTTCGATATTAAGTTAAATACAGCTCGAAGACGTTCAATAAAATCAGTAGATGATTCAGTAATAATCTAAATGAAATTTTTGAGAGAAGATCTTTTTCTTTTAAAAAAACAATCTTACTTGTGTATCAATATGTTCACAAAGAGCTTTAGATAAGACTATAATAAAATCATTAATTTGACGTAAAATACGATTTTGTTCTTCAATTGAATCATTTATATAAAATAATTCTAAGTTTTGTCGTTGTTCAATCATTGTATCTAAGATTTTATAACGTCTAATAAAAGAAAAAGGTTACTTTTACTACATATATATATCATTTAAATATATTTACATATCATTTTTACAATTTATAGGCATTTCAATTAATTTTAAAAGTTTATCAGTTCGATTTATTTGTTGATTAACTTGTTCTTTTTCTTCTATCATTCGATTTGTCAATGTTAACACTAAAATTTAAACTAATAATTGTATTTCAATATCCTTGATAAAATCATACTAGCAATAGTTTTAGCAGAGATTTCATTAGTCATTATTTTCAATTGTTCTGAATTCTATTTAAAGAATTAAAAAAATATAGATTTAATTTTTGAAAATATTATCTTACATTTAAATCAATCGGTAATCCAGCGAGAATTATGTTATAAAATTGATCATACATACAACTAACTTGAATAATTTCATCACTGCTCATTAAAATTGATTTCTGTTGTTGGATATTTGTTGCTGGACCATTCGTACTAGTTAATCTTCGTGATTCAAATGAAGTTGTCATATCATTCACAGCTAGAAATAATAGAAAATATACTTCAAAAGCATTGTTTTTTTTACCCATCATTTGTACTTGATATTGATCTTCCAGTTGTTCAGCAATAGAAGCCATCGCTTGTTCATGTATAATACGTCGTTGTTGACTCTATAAAATATACCAATAAAAAGTTTCATTCTTTTTCAAAAAAACTGACTTGAGCTTCCGTATGATCTAATAATTGTTGATAGGCTTTCTAATATGATAAGAAAGGATAAATATTTTTAAAAATCGATATATATAATTAATTCTACAAGACGACGTTTATTTTCATCAACAATATCTGTAAATTCTTTTTTAAGAATTATTCGTTGATGAAATTTTTTTCCAATATCTTTTTGTACATTCGGTAATTCTTTTCGAAGTAAATCTAAATCCTAATATTTCAAAGTATATACATATTTATACTAGTTTAAAATAAAATATTACACATTGTAAATGTTGTTTACAAGTATTCAATGTTTTATTTATTAATTTTACACTAGTTAATCGATCTTGAATTTCACGAATACGACGTGTGATAGTTTTGACATTCTTAAATTGATTATCTATACTAATAAAAAACAAATGTTTTATTATTATTTACTTTAATCTGTTTGACAGGTATTGATATTGCTTTGGATTTTGTTTGATCAATACGTGTTTGAACATGTAGAGATTCAAGACGATCAAGTAAACATTGTTGAATATATAATAGTTGATTATATTTTTGTATTGCTCGATTTCGTTTATTGTCTATATGTTCAATTCCTTTCTATAAGATTTTAATTAGATTATATTATAGAAATAAATATTGCGAACCTTACAACAGTGATCGCGTTCTTTTCAGATGAATTAACAATCGTCTTCTAATAAATGTTAATAATTAAATTTTCTATTAAATAATATAAATAAAAACCTTTTCAACAGGTATTTTTAATTGTTTGCGTAAATTATTGTTGAATGTTTCCATATCATATCGTTCACCTTTTATTTTCGTTAATCGATCATTTTGATCACCCAATAAACAAAATTCAACATTTTCTTTAAATTAAAATGACTTTAGAATTGTTTTAAATGAATATTAAGACATTTACTAAGCCATGCAACACGATTTCGTAGATCGGCTACTCGATCAGCAACATCCATTGATGGTTTCTCTATATGAATATCGCATCTAAAAGAAAGACTAATAAAACAAATCAATAGATTTAATACTTACCCTAAACGTAGCATTGTTATTAAAATCAAAAGAAAACGAAATAATTATTTTTTAATAGACAAGTTTCCATGGCTTTTATTAAATATTCTTTTTCTTCATTTGTGTAAAAATAGTTGTAATTGAAATGTATTTTCTGAAATCATATTTGATATAATATAAATAGGCTGATCAATGAACTATAATACTTTGTGACATTAAATTGTTTCGTAAATACATAATTAAACTAGATGGCATACGAGTCGAGACTCATCTGCGAAATGTGATGCAAAGCTTGATTTCGAAATAACGACTTGGAGGTTTTCACAAAATTCTCAACATTCACGATTACAGTACAATAAAACGAAATTTATGTTATCGAAATCGAAAATTCAAATTATTATATGTTAAACGAACATTGATGACTAGTTTTTATAATTATCTAAGTGATTCATCATCTATTATCAGTTGCAGTTTCAGCTGTAAAACAATTGTTAGAGAAAAGCGGTGTCTAACTTTTGCTTTTGCTTTTCGTTTCAATTATCTCGAAATGTGAAAAAGTCAAAATCGTGTTTTTGTGACGCTTCGTGTAAACAAATTAAATATCCTGTTGAAAATCGGAAAACGAATAGTATTAGTTTAATCTCGATATATTGATCTCACATCTGAAAGAATAATTTGTGACGTTGCGTTCTTGAGATCATCGTCACACAAAATGACCACTTTGAATGCGTATGCGAAGGACTACATAAATGCTTCTGCTTCGCATCGCATTGTTTTTTAGCAAAAAATTCTGTTTTTCTTTAAATTTCATTTTACTTTTTCACTCATTTTTATTCAGTAGAATATTTCTTTTCTTCTTTCAAAATCGTAATTTCATTCACAAAATTATTTCAAATTTTTGAATTCGATGATTATTATAATCCGCAACATAAAGATTTCCTTCATCATCAAAAGATAAACCACTGGGACCATTGAATTGCTTTGGTTGATTTTCTTCATTATTTCCACCAACAACAATTTCACCTTTTTCTTTTCCTTCACACCAACGCATTATTCGATTGTTCGTGGAATCTGCCACATAGATTTGATCCAAATGATCAACAAATATTCCTTCAGGACAAGATAATTGATTGAGATTCCCTCCTCTATCATTTCCTCCAGCCACAATTGTTCCTTCTTTTGCATCTTTTCTCCATTTCATCACACGATGATTGTTGAAATCTGTTACATAAACGGATTGATCTTCGTCAACAAAGATAAAAGTAGGCAAATTAAGTTGATTAAGTTGTTTCCCTCTGTCATTTCCACCTGCCACTACAATTCCTTCATTGTATTCACCCATTTTCCATCGTCTCACTTCATTATTCTTCCAATTTGAAACATAAAGATACCCATGTTTATCCAGTGCCAAGCGACCACAGTCAATATTATCAATGAGAATTTGTTGATTTTGATTCATCCATTGAATCACTCGTCTATTCCCACGATCAGCAATGATGATCGAATGATTTTGTTGATCAACAATCACATCTGTTGGTCGATTTAATTGATCCATTCGATGTCCTTCCTCATTTCCACCTGCAATGGATCGTCCTTCTTCTGCATTACGTTTCCATTCAACAATACGATGATTGGAACAATCAGCAATGAAAATATTTTTGTTTTTATCAATAAAGATTCCGCGAGGCTTATCGAGTTGATTTAATTTTTGTCCTTGTTCATTTCCACCAGCCACAGTGATGGCATTTCGGTTCCACTTGTTCCATTTTGGTTCTAGAAAATGATAAAAACAAAATATTTTGATGAAAAGAAGAAGAAAATTTTGTTTTATCGAAGAAAAAAAAAAGAAAAGATTGGTTTTCAATGAAAGTTTGAGTTTGTTTTCTTGATAAAGTTGAATTTTGAGAGAAAATTCTACTGAAAAAGAACATAAAACATTTGAAGTTTTGTATTTGGAAAATAAAGATGAACTGATTTGAAAAGAAAAAAAATTGAAATTTATTGTTTTTCGAATCGAAAGTTAGGAGAGAAAGAATATTTTTACTCAAAGATAGTATATCTGTGAAACAAATTGATAAATGTTTAACTTGAAAAAGAGAAAAGATTTTGTTGACTTATTTCTTGTTAAATAAAAATTTGAAAATAATTCAATTTTGTTTTTATCAGTTAAACGTATCTTTCAAACTCTGAAGAAAAATTAATTCTCTAATTTAATATTATTTCATATCCTATCACTTTTTTTCTTTTACATACAAATAAATTGAATTTTCTGTTTCTATCAAACTTACTTTTTTCTAATAAAATAATCGAAATATCATTAATGAGCGGTTGTGAATTTTGTTGAATAGAAACCTTTGGTGGATTATTTAATTCTTGTGTAATTTCTATTAATTGATTTGTTAAATGAGTTAAATTAATTTCATTAAAGTCATTTTCTTTCTGAAGGTGTTTTATTTGTTCAGTTAAATCATTAAATTTCTTTTCGATATCATTAATACATGTTTGTAATGATTCAATGGCAACCTGTCTACAATCTTGTGCTTTTTGTTGAATTATTTCAATTGATTTTATTTCCCATTGATCAATTTGTTTTATTAATGAATGATTATGTGGATTTTGTTTTTGTTCATTAATTGTTTGTTTAAATTTATTATATTCATTGGTAATAAGATGTAATTCATTCTTTAATGTTTGACGATGTTCTATTAAATCCGGTAAACAAAATTCTTTTGAACATCCTTTACAAAAATATGTTATTTTTTCTTGATTACATTCAAAGCATAGTGTTTTGTTATTTGTCATTGCCATATAGTTGAATATAAATTTTCAATTGAAATCAGTAATGTATTTATCTACTTTTATAAATATAGATTTAATAATTCAATGACAATAAGAACGCTGTTCACTAATAGAATACATCGAAAAAGAGATTTTTCTTGTGGCAACAATTACTAATTGTTATAAAATTCCACTGGTAAAACTGAGGGTGTGGGTATATTTGTTAGTGAGTTCTCATTGCTCCGTACTCACACTCATGAATGTTTATTAGAATTAACTTAATCTTCCTGAGGTCTACTTAGAACAGGAAAATGAATTCGAAAGCTCAGAATCAGTTATACTAGTACCTATATTAATATATCTTCTATATATGTAACACTTTCCCTTCATTCTTAAAATTCTTTATATCATCATTGCGAAAATTATTCATTACGTTAAGTTTATCAATATCATCATTTAACTTTCATCGAGTTTGTCCTTCTATTTCTGAATGTTCTAATCTATGATAGTTAGTTAAATGTGTCGTTGTCGACTGGCTCATCATGAATTAAAACATTAGTAATATCGTACAGATAAGAAATGAAAGAATGATACTCTCCTCATAATACTCTTTGCTTCAATGCCTTTGAAAATATATCATCTTGTCATCGAAGAAAACGTTGGATAAATACCGATTAAACACGCATAATTACGAATGAAAGAAAAAAAACAAACATAAATATCATATTTTTTCTCGTCCTTTATTCCTCTTGAAAATAACGTTCACAAGCGATTTGCTTTATTTCATCATTATTTGTGTAATGTAAAGTAGCTTTATATGATGACATGATGTATCTGTTTTCTTTCTATTCTTGACAAAATTTCGACAAAGAAAGGTAAACGAAGAAAAGAAATATACCAACATTGAATCATTATTTGTTTCTTTCATATATGCTTGTGTTTTCGAAATATATGTTCGTAATACGACAAAAAAGAAACAGTTAGTTAAGTTGCAGTATTCCATATGAGAATGAATTGAAAGACAAGATAGAAGGAAAAAATCAACAAAAGATTAAGTCATATGACAGAAAAGAAACAAATATACTGATAAAACTATCTAATCCATTAAAATTCTATTAGATTATCTTCTTGATTTTCTGACCAATAATTAATCACTTAGAACATTCATTATGTATCATTAAAATGAATAAGGATGAATCCAATCGAACATCATCTCAGATGCCGATTTTAGATAGCAGTTATACTTACGTATTTATACCATAGAGTTAATTTAGAGAAACTCTTGATCTGGAAAATAACAATACTTTTAGTCAAAGCTTTAGCATCATTACAACATCATCGAATACTTGCCATTAGTATTATTGAATCACAAAATTCTAGTAAAAGTATTTTATCAAATTATATGTTTGGCACATTATTTAATATTCATGATGGTTGATGTACTCGAGGTATTTATAAATCATATGTCAAATTGAATATCATGCTGATTGATACTGAAGGTTTATTAAGTTGTGACATGGGAAGCAAATAATGGGATCATCAAATGATTCTCTTGTGTTTAACTGTTTCACATATAATAGTTGTTAATGTGATTGATGAAATTAATTCTAAATTACAAGATAAGTTAAAATTATGTGCAAACTTTTTTAGCCAACATGCAAGCGACTATTATTAAAATAATTTTGCAATTTTGCAAAAGTTAAATTTAGGTTCATTAGTAAATATTGAATTAGAAATATTTCATACATTTCTAACAATCTATAAAAAAAAAGAAGGACTAACAATAAAATCGAATATAATATTATTAAAACAAATAAAAACAATATCAGATTTTATTGAGAATATATAATTATTATCTCAAAAAATCTTTAATTCAATTCACTAGTTGTCTTCGTATCAATTACAATCTTTATAATATAACAAAAATCTGTTGATTTGACTTCTCAGATTATCGTCATGAACAACAGTTTCGACAATTAATCGAAAATATCATTCGAAATGAAAGCTTGATGTGACGTGTAACTGCTAAACAAGAATTCGAATGAATGTATCAAAAATATAAATAAAATTTTATAAAACAATCTTCTTTTTAAATAATTTTTATTTCAATTCAGTTCAAATTACAAAGTTTTCCTTTTTTCTTTTCTTCTTGTCTGTATAAATCGAAAGTATTCAACAAAAAAAAGGAAGAATTTAAAATTTATTTATTCGAATCTTTTAATCGAAATTATCAAATTATATTCAGTTTTGAAGAGAAACTAGATAGCACACGAGTCGAGACTCGTCTGCGAAATGCGATGCGAAGCTTGAGTTTGAAATAACGACTTTGATGTTTTCATAAAATTCTAAACATTCATAATTATAGTAAAATAAAGTCAAATTTATATCATCAGAATCGAGAATTCAAACTATTACATGTTGCAAGAACACTGATGAATCATTTTTTAATTATTTAGCTGATTCATTATCTGTCATTAGCTGTAAAGCATTGGTTAGAAAGAAGTGATGCCTAACTTTTTCTTTTTCTGTTCAATTATCTCAAAACACAAAATTAGCCCTACAGTCTCTTGCTAATTCAGGATTGAATTTTTCATTAGCAGCAGCAATTGATTGCAATCAATATTGAATATACTATGATGAAATATACATAATAAAAAGAAAATCCTATGATTGCAATAATATTATTTTATTTTACATAAATTCACTTTCGCCACACGTTTATAAATATATTCGAGTAAAAGGTTCAAAACTCAACGTGCTTTATGATAAATTTTTAAACTTTTAAATAATTCGATATGATATGTTAGAGATAGAAATTACACTGTATTTTGTTTAGTTTTGTTCTTTTTTAATTCAAATTTTGCTTAGAGAAAATGATACTAAAATGATTGAGTTCCATCTTCGATATCCTACATCTCAATATTTCAATTTGGATTTTAATGATAAGATGTAAACCTTGCATGTACTTATTTGTTTTCTTCTGTTGAAAGATTCACGATAAGAATTTTATAGAGTATTAAAAAATTCTGGATGATATCAGTAAACTATATATTATACTAGATATTGTTGAGTTATGGCTCGAAATCCATTCATCTACAAACTGCTATTCTTGATATTTGGAGTTGATTAAATTCATCTAGTTAAAATATTAGATACGCACTGGGTTATTCAAAAGTGTGATGGCTTAGAAACTGAATTCTGCGATTCTATTCAGTCGATATGAGATACTAGAATAATATACCTCTAACATTTTTCTATAAACTTTGCTTCGATCGATAAAATGTGGGTGTGGATGTGAGATGAAAATAATACGTACGTTCACCCACACCGTCCATCTTACACAGACCGCAACAGGCAGACTTGTTAAGGCTCTGCTTAGTAACCGTGTTGTTCGACCGCTACAGTAACTGTCTCATCCAAAAATAATTTGGAGCATACGATTGTTTTCTTCATTCATTCGACAACGAAAAGAGACAAAAAAACCAGAGGTTTTGACAATGTTGATATCATTAATATATTTTATTGGCATTCATAACCTGAATTTTCCTAGCAACGGCTAATACTTCTACCAACTAATATTAAAATTTTAATATTGAATAAATTGTTAATTTATCGAATCCCGAGTTTAATATTAATTATTATTTACTCTTTTAACTGCTAATATCCGCGGAAGATTGAGCAAATTTTATCGATCGTGCACAGAAAAGAACACGATCATTTGACTTTTCTCCTTGTATAATTTCAATATGCAATTTAAAAACATGAGAAAAGGCAGTAAGCCTGTTGACGTGCATTATTTGCAAAGTAAATATGTGTTCTTTTAGTAACGATATTCTCTCCCATCTGTGAAGACAGTTGGAAAAAATGAATTCTTTTTTCTTCTTCTTTCTTTCTACTCAACTTGTTGTACGATACAAGCTCAGTGATACACAGGACAGGATTTTATTATATATAATAGTAATAAACATGAAAAAATAGCTAATGATACCATAAAAACATTAAGATAAAGAGATCTGATTCTCATATAAAGCAGTGTTCGTTTCTTTGCTTATCCATCAATTCTAAAGCTCTTCAACTGCATTCAAGTATCGCCCAATTACTAATATATACATATCATGGATCCGAAATATTCCAAACAGAACTTTAAATCCTCTTATGGAGCAACAGCGTCTTATTTTCGTCAACCACGACAACGTATGACTCCAGATTACCTTCTCATCTGGGTGGATGCTAGCATCGACGAAGGAAAAAAGGATTGCCAAGATATACTCACTCAATTGAAGAATGTCATCAATGATGTCAGCTTATGCACTGAATCAAGTCAGTGCATTCAAGTACTCAACAGGTTTGACAAGGAACAAGCATTTGTCATAATATCAGACTCATTAGATCAACATTTGGTTCCTGAAATTCATGGCATGCCACAGTTACATACCATTTACATCTTTTGTGGCAACAAATCCAGATATGATGGATGGACTCAAAACTGGACAAAAATTAGAGGTGTTCATACAAACATTAAAGACATTTGTCAAGCATTGCAATTAGCGATTAAGCAACGCTATCAGGATTCGATTGCCGTAAGTTTTCTTCCCATAAATGAAATGGCATCTGCTGATAATTTAAATCAGTTGGAACCAACATTTATGTATACCCAAATATTCAAGTATATTCTTCTTGATATGAAACATGGTAAACAAGCCATCAAACAGTGTATCCATTATTGTCGAAATAATAACAGCTTGTCATCAATCAATATCAATCTTTTTGAGAAAGAATACCATACTAAATTACCTATTTGGTGGTACACTTCCCCATCCAATATCTATTCTATGCTCAATTATGCTCTTCGAACACTGGACGCTGATGCAATTATTACTATGGGATTTTTTATATGTCATCTGCATCAACAAATTCAAAATTTATACGAAGAACAAGTCAATAGTTATGGAAGAAAACCATTTGTAGTTTATCGAGGACAAGGTCTTATGAAATCAGACTTTGAAAAACTTCAGAAAACAAAAGGTGGACTAATGTCATTTAACAATTTCTTGTCCACCAGTACAAATAAAGAAGTGTCTCTAGGTTTTGCTCAAGCTGCTTTAACGGAACCAAATAAGGTTGGCATTCTTTTTATAATGTCCATTGATCCTTGCTTGAAATCAACACCATTTGCCTTCATTAAAGAAGAGAGTTATTTTGAGGAAGAAGATGAAATTCTTTTTTCGATGCATACAGTGTTCCGGGTTAGTGCAATTAAACAAATGGACAATAAGAATCACATTTATCAAGTTGAACTACAATTAACATCTGATGACGATCAACAACTACGAATACTGACTGATAGGATACGAGAAGAAGCTGATGGTAATACTGGATGGAAAAGATTGGGTAGCTTATTGCTGAAAATAGGCAAATTTAATAAAGCTGAAGAACTTTATAACATATTATTCGAACAGACATCTGATCAGAGTGAAAAAGCGCATTATTACAACCAGTTGGGATATATCAAACATGATCAAGGTAATTACGAAAAGGCTATTTGGTATTACGAACAAGGGCTTGAAATTAAGCAAAAAATCCTCCCTTCAAATCATCCTTCATTGGCAACTTCATACAACAACATCGGTAGTGTATATGACAACATGAGAGAGTACTCGAAAGCCCTTTCATTCTATGACAAAGCACTTAAAATTCGACAAAAAACTCTTCGTTCAAATCATCCTGATGTGGCTACTTCGTATAACAACATCGGTTTGGTGTATGAGACGATGGGAAAGTACTCGAAAGCACTTTCATCTCATGAAAAAGCACTTGAAATTTATCAAAAAAACTCTTCCTTCAAATCATCCTTCATTGGCTACTTTATATAACAACATCGGCTGTGTGTATAACAAGATGGAAGAGTACTCGAAAGCACTTTCATTCTATGACAAAGCACTTGAGATTCGACAGAAAATTCTTCCTTCAAATCATCCTTCATTGGCTACTTCGTACAACAACATCGGTCTGGTGTATGAGACGATGGGAAAGTATTCGAAAGCACTCTCATCTCATGAAAAAGCACTTGAAATTTATCAAAAAACTCTTCCATCAAATCATCCTTCGTTGGCTACTTCATACAATAACATTGCTAGTGTGTATTACAGCATGCGAGATTACTCGAATGCACTAACATTTCACGAAAAAGCACTTGAAATTAAACAAAAAACTCTTCCTTCCGATCATCCTGATTTGACTAGTTCGTACAACAAAATCGGTAGTGTGTATGATAGCATGAGGGAATACTCGGAAGCACATTCATATTATCAACGTGCTCTAGGCATCAAACAACATACATTACCTCCAACTCATCGTAACATAAGAACTGTAAAAGAGGGGATTGAAATTGTAAAAACGAAATTATGAAGAATATTTGATAAATAAATAAAAGAAGGTTTTATTCAATTGTCTTTGAATGAATTCTAGTTTGTAGTGACTCCCGCGTGCGTATCTAGAAAAACTCTGTAAATAATAAAAACGTAATGGACAAACCCGACTGAAAAGATAATATACATACGATCTATACCCTGAAGAGTTAATCGAAATCAAGATAAGATTGGTTCTACTATCGAATTAAGTCTTGTTCTAGATGATCCAAATTAATTTAAAACACTGAATTTTGCTGTTTAAATCGCGGTCATGAGACTGAGTATGGAACTAAATGACTGGATTGTAGTTTCATTGATTATTCAGATTCTGATAAAGTTTATACAATTAGTACAGTCTATAGAACAAACTATTTTCTTTTATGCTTTAAATGATTAAAATAAAATTATATAATACATTATTTCAAATCGTTTGTATTTTATATTTTTTTTAAATAATCTATATTTATCATAAGAATTGAGGACGTTACAATAAAACTTATTTTATTCCATTTTACATATAAAACCACATGTATAAATGATAAAACATATATTTTTTCTTGAAAGATCGAACTAAATTACTCCCTGAATATTTCGTATCAAGCAATAATTTAATTAGAATTACAAATTAAAAACAATATGCAATTTAAAAGTGATTTTTAAATATTTGCTTAATTATATGATATAATTTCCTAGTCGTCATTTACATAATAAGCTACATTGTTTTTATAAATGATTAACATAATGATCAGACAAAATAACAAGATTTCTTCGTCTTCTTTTCATGACGTTGAAATCTATATGATTTTTTTACGATACACTTAATATTTAAATTAATTATACTTTAGCTAAGTAATTCAGAGGACAAACACGATCTATGAAATACTTTTAAAATGTTGAACAAATAAGAAAAAAAACATAGTTCAATTCCATTCAAAGAATTCCTTGATAATTAAAACGAATAAGTATCAACAAGAACTTCAGAGATACTTCATGTATCAATATTTGTTAAAATATTTCTATGAAAGTCTACTAGATAAGCATAAATGTCATTAAAACAAAGAATCATGACTAATAGAAAAAGATCTAAAAGTATAATTATTGGCGCTGTTCGATTTTCTTACTTTTATTTCTTGCTTGACAACGTTCATTTTCATTTATTTTTTTCTGTTTGTGTTTGTATTTGTCTAAAGTTTTCTACGATATTCGAAAAGAAACCATTCTCATAATATAAGGTAATCGAATAGATAATATTGATAACATATTTTGATTTTACATTTTGAATTAGTATGCCACCAAAACGATCAAAAACAGTAAATACATTTTATTTTATTTTATTGTTTCATATTCTATTAATTTTATTACTTAAGAGTGATATCAACCGTGAACTATCGGTAGAAACTGATAAGAGTATGCAATGAAAAAAAAAGTTTAAATTTACAAATAAATATTAATTGTAGTTGGAAA